ATGAAAGGTTGTCAAAGTTTCTGTTCAACAATGGGTTTAAAAGAGAAAAAACAGACAATACCGTGTTCTTATTAAAAAGAGAATAGGAATTGTTTATTATTCAGGTGTATGTGGATGACATAATTTTTGGAGCTACACCAGAGTATATGTGTGAAGAATTTTCATCATTAATGGGAAAGGAATTCGAGATAAGCATGATGGGTGAATTGACCTTCTTTCTGGGGCTACAAAACAAGCAATCATCAAATGGAATCTCAATCAGTCAGGAGAAGTACATTAAGGAGTTATTGAAGAAATTTAATATGTTTGATTCTAAACCTATTGATACTCTTATGGGAACAAACTCCAAGCTTATAGCAGATGAATCTGATTCTCTTGTGAATCAAACCATGTATAGGGGAATCATTAGATCCTTGTTGTATCTGACTGCTAGCAGTCCTGATATTTTATATAGTGTTGGAATGTGTGCTGGATTCTAAGCATGTCCTTGTGATTCACATTTGAAGGTTGCAAATCGCATTCTAAGATATTTGAAGAAGACAGGGGACCTGGTCCTTTTCTATCTAGTAGGTGACACTTTTGATCTTGTTGGTTTTTGCAGATGCCGATTTTGCTGGTTATCAAGTTGATAGAAAGAGTACTTCTGGAATGACCCATTTCCTTGGATCTTCACTCATTTCTTTGGGAACTAAGAAACAGAATTATGTAGATCTTTCAACAGCTGAAGCTGAATATGTAGCAGCTGCTGCATGCTGTTCACCATTGTTATGGATCAAGCAACACTTAGAGGATTTTGGTTTAATCATCAAGGACATTCCCCTTATGTGCGACAATACTAGTGCAGTTAGTATGGGAAAGAATCTAGTTCAACACAAGAGAACTAAACACATTGATGTTAGACATCATTTTCTGAGAGACAATGTTGAAAAGGGAAATATTGTGCTTACATATTGTCCAACGGATGAAAAAATTGCAGATATCTTCACCAAGGTTCTTAGCAAAGATCAATTTGAGAGTAATAGGTTGAAGTTGGGCATGATGACTTTACACTGATTTCCACATATTCAATAGTTGAATTCTTTTGATGGCTAAACTTGCAGTGTAGGTATCCTTTGTGTCAATAATATATTATCTGAGTTAGATCATTTTTGGTACCTATTGTAGGTATACATTCAGGAAGGACTAGCAAAGCGAAGACATGGCTAGATTAGTTAAGGAATGATGATAAAGCTGTGTTATGGGACCTGGTCCCAATAGAGGTTAGCATTTGTACATTAATTTTAAACTGAAAAAATGACCGTTGATAAAGCCACGTGTCATTCATCGGTCATTCTGACCGTTAGTCCCATCGCTTAATTTTCAAGAGACGCGTCAAATCAAGGGACCTGGCACTGTTTCAGCTCTTTTTAAACTCTTCTTTTTTTCTTTGAATAAAAGGGAAGAAGAGAAAAGACGAAATCTGTTTTTATCCCTTTTTCTTTTGCTTCAAAACTGTTACTCTTTTCTTCTTCTTGACAAAATGTCTGATCCTTCATCCTCCTCTAAGAAAATTCTTACAACCCTTAGTGAGATTGAACCTATTGCTTTCTATTCTCCTTTAGCTGTAGGGTCTAGATCTAACATTCCGTCAAGTTCTTCCCAAGATATTCCCGAAAATCCATTTCACTCCATAGATCTGAACAGCTAAAGTGTTCCTACTGGACCTGGTCCTCGTCTTGAAATGCTTTCAGATTCTTTGTTTGAAGGGGATTTGCCAAGGAACAAATCCTCTGAGACAAACATTCTTGCTACAAGTGAAGAGCTGGTGATTGAAAGTCTTGCTATAATGAGAGAGGAAGTCAGGGTCGAACAAAATGAACCTTTTCAAGGTGAAGAGATCAGAGAGACTCAACCTAATTTTAATAAAACTCCTGACTTTGGGAGGTATCCATCTTCTAACTCCTCTTATTCAGCCAGTGATAATGAATCTATTCAGTGGAAGGTTGAAAGGAGAGATGTCAGTGTATTAAAAAGGGAAAAGAAAAGGTGGTGGAAGAAGTTCTTAGAAGGAGACCTACTACTAGATCTGATGCCAAAAAGTTGATAGCTGATGCTTTGAAGGCCGGTGCAAGCTCTGCAGCAAAAATCAGGAGTGCTAGAACATTCAAAGTGTCAAATTTCAAAATGCCTTAGTCTTGTGTCATAGAGGTGTCTGCTGGAGAGACGGAAAAGAGGCACAGGAAGAAAAAATCAGGAAAGACAAAGTCAAGAGACATCAAAAAGGTTGATAAAACAAAATCTACCAAGGAGAGTTCTAAAGGAAAAAGAAAAAGGTCACATGGACCTGGTACCCAAAAAAAATCGAAGAGGAGGTCAACAAATAAGAAACTATTGATAATTTGAGAAAGCAGTCTGTACTGGCTGGGAGGGTTTTTGACATAGGAATAATCAACCTTCATGGAATGGACTCACTTGATGACAAGGTGGAGATTCAGTCATGGATGCATCTCTTCAACAAAAAATCTCCCATTCTTCATGAAGAGGAAGTGCGTGAATTTTACTACAACATTCAATTTCTTGAAGATGGAAGTGTCCATACTAGAGTGAATGATATTACAGTGCATCTGGATGAGTTTCTGTTAGGGAAAATTCTTAAGATACCTCGAGATGGTACCAGGTCTGTGATTGGGAAAACATGTTCAGTTGAGTTTGTGGCATTGGTCTCGAAGCTTCCCACAACAAAGTGTGCAAGGGTGTTTAAGAAGGTGATGAAAATGAGTACCAGTTAGTCTTTGAGTTTGTCAACAAAACTCTACTTCCTCGAACTAAAAAGAGGACCTCAGCTACTTCTGTTGATTTGTATGTGATGGAGTTGTTGTGCAAATTTGAACCTCTGAATCTTCCAGGAAACATGCTTGAACACATGTACAAGACTATCATTGAGCAGTAAGGAATACATGGAATGGTATATGGATACTTTCTGACTGAAGTATTCAAATACTTTAACATTCCACTTAGTGTTGGCAAGGTTGGTACAGTGAAACAATCTTTTTCAGAAAATACTCTGGTTGAATGTGAGTGCATTAAAGGGAAAGGAAATCCCAAAATCAAAATGGCTCAACTGATAGAAGATAAGGACCAACTCAAGCATGAAGTTAAAGAATTAACCATGCGATTGAGTGGAAAAGATGCTGAAATAGTTATTCTCATATATGAACTGCTCACTGCACAGACAGAGGGACCTTGTACTGTTGTGGTTCAAGCCCTGGAAAAGGAAAATGCAGAGCTGAGGGCCAAGGTTATTGCTTTGCAAGAAGAATCAATAAAGGATAATGATGTTGCAAATGATATACTCACTCTCATTATTCACTCCCTTTCTCATCAACCTCCCCCTTCTTAGTCTGTTCCAATCTTTTTCAGTGTCTTCCTTGTGTGGCTTGTCTTTTCGTCATTGTATTCTCAGTTTGCTATTAATGTATTGAATGTTTATCTTGAAATGCTATTTCTATTATTCCCCTGATGTTGTAGTTAATATCTCTTGTGAATGCTTTCCTTTGTGTTTGATTGCTCTAAGGCTTTGGTCTTCTCTGGTATTATTGTTGATACTATTGGTATAGTGTATCTCTTTTTTATGATGCCAAAAGGGGGAATTTTAACTGATAAGTAGTAGTTGGACTTGTTTGTGAGGGGGAATACAGTGAAGTGGATTTTTTTTTATTTCAGGAAGGTGGACAAGTAATTCAAGGGGAACTTGTTATGAAGCTGGAGTGGTGTCTGGAGTATTGTTTGTCATCATCAAAAAGGGGGAAAATATCATTTGTAGTTTTGATGATGTGACAAACTCAGCGACCTTGTAAAAGGTACCAGGTTCTCAATATGAGTTTTGATGATGTGACAAACTCAGGGACCTTGTAAAGGTACCAGGTTCTCAACATGAATAGCTCATTGACTGCCAGCTGGAAAAGGTACAGAAAGTGGGTGCACATTTCCCAACAGCGTCAGAAAAGTCAGACCTTTCCAACCAATGGCATGAGTTTAAGGAAAGGGACTTGTCTATACAATATCACTTTTCTTAACATCAGTCCTTAGTTTTTGCAACTTGAAAAAGCAGTCTCAAGAACATTTGCAAAGGCTATAGGAAATCAAAGTGAAGAATTATTCTATAACAACTGAAAACTCAGGTTCATATCGTGTAGTTATTTGAGAATATATTCTTGTGGTCTTACATTGTAAATTGTTCCTAAATCTATAAAGGAATCAGTGTGGTGAGTGTTGAAATTCTAAGTTGTCTAGAGAGATAGCTTCGTGGGTAGAATAACTTCTACTTAGGCTTATCAAGCAATAGAGTTATTGGTTGATCGTGAGATTAAATTTTTTTTCTCATATTTGTGTAACTGGTTTTACTTTTGCTTACGAAGATTAGTGAAACAGTTGTGAAATCCTGTTAGACAGGTCGTGGTATTACTCCATTAAGTAATGAGGTTTCTACGTAAAATTGTTGTGTTGTTAAACTACATTTACCTTATGTTCATACTTGTTTGTGTGTCAAGGGACCTGGTCCTATGACTGATAAGTGGACGCATAGATTTTGACACACTCAATACGAGTATATCCATGGTCACTATAAAAAAATAGCAAGGTCAGAAGATCCTTCGAAGTAGCACAAGACCTGTTCTACGGATTCCCAATGCTGAATGTCGGTGCAACATAAATTGACTAAAAATATTGACTGCAAATGCAATATGGGGATGGGTCACTATGAGGTAGTTCAATTTCACAAATAATTTCCTATATCTGTCTGGATCATTAAGAGGATCACTATAGTCCTTAGTAAGATGACATTAGGAACCATTGGTTTGCAACATGGTTTGTCTCCCAATTTTTCAATTTCCTCAAGTAGATCAAGTGCATACTTTCTTTGGGATAGGAAACTTCCTTTGTCGCTTCTTTCTACTTCGATAGCAAGAAGTATTTCAGTTGCCCCAAATCTTTGGTATGAAAATTGACATGTAAAAACTCCCTCAGATAAATAAATTCCTGTACAATCAACTCTTGTAATAACAATATCGTCAACATAAACAACCAAAACAATATTACCAATTGTTGACTATCTGTAGAAAACATAGTGATCACACTTGATCTTCTTTAATCAAAATTCCTAAACTACATCGCTAAATTTTCCAAACCAAGAACGAGGACTTTTCTTTAGACCATAGAAAGATTTTCTCATATGACAAACCTTCTCATACTTCCCCTGAGAAACAAATCCAGGTGGTTGCTCTGTATTCACTTCTTCATTCAGATCACCATGAAGAAATGCATTTTTGATATCCAATTGATTGAAGAGCCAATGATGAAAAGCAACCAAAGAAATAAACAAGCGAACAAAGGCGGGCTTAGATATTTCGAAGAAGGTCTCAGAATAAGCTACATCATAGTCTAGGCATAGCTTTAGCCACAAGTCTGACCTTAAGTCTTGCAAAAGAGCTATCATGATTAAATTTGGCAGCAAGGATCCATTTGCATCCAATTGCTTTCTTTCCTTTGGTTAAATCTACCAAATATGAAGTGTTTCATATGAAGCATGTATTTCCTCAAGCATTGCATCATGCCATCCAGGATGGTTCAAGGTATCCTTCAGTATTTTGGTAATAGATATAGCGTCTAGAGAGGCAATCATATACCTAGATGCAACTGATAAGTGATCACAAATAGACAAAGTTAGAAATGGAAAATGTGGATTTACACTGACGTTTACCTTTTCGAAGAGCAATATGGAGGTCATGATATTTTGGAGGATTAAGAAGAGTAACATCTGATGAGAAAGGAATTGTATCATCGATTTCCCACCTGCTCAAGTAAACTTGAACAATAGGCGGTCTTGATAGAGCATGTACAACAGGAACTGATGGAACAATAGTGGATTAGTGCCCAACAGAAGGATTGGTATAGGTAAGAACAACGTCTTCTTGATTTTTTTAGCCACAACACGAGTAACCTGGTAGACTAACCACTATTCTTCCTCCCCCTGACTTGTAGAAATAGGAGGTTCAAATAAGAATGGTGTAGTGTCAAAAAATATCACATCAATTGATACCAAATATCTACCAAGCTTAGTAGAACAACATCGATATCCCTTTTCAAAGGCGAGAATAACCCTAAAAACATACTTGAATGCCTTGGGTTCAACCTTTGTAATTGATGGTTGAACGTCTCAAACGTGACATGTGCTTCCAAATACCTTAGGTTCTACTAAAAATAGTGACTTATTTGGAATGTGAACATTATAAGTCACATTACCATCAAACATAGTCGGTGGCATGTAATTTATAAAAAAAATAAGCAGTAGGGACCGTATCAACCCAAAATTGTTTAGGAACCTTCATTTGGAACAAAAGAGCCCGAGTTGTCTCAAATGGATGTCTACTCTTTCTCTCAGCAACTCCACGTTGATATAGTGTATTAACACATGAATTCTGATGGAGAGTACCGTGTTGAGTCATGTGGGATCTGTTTTTGACATATATTCTTTAGTATTTGCGCTCCTTAAAATACGGACTGAGGCATTGAACTAAGTTTTGATTTCAGCACAAAATGCAGAAAATAAGTAAACACTTCAGATCGACTCTTCATAAAGTAAATTAAAGTCATTCGAAAAAAAATCATCTAAAAAAGTGAAAAAATATTTATGCCCTATTTCAGAAACAACTGGACATGGTCCTCAGACATCAGAATGGACTAACTCAAAAGGTGATGCAACTCGATTATTCATCCTTTGAAATAACAAGATACGATGGTGTTTTGCAAATCGACATGACTCACGGTCCAAGAAAGAAATATCCTGAAATTGTGTGCTAAGCTTCCTTAACTAAGGTAAGGAAGATGTCCCAATCGACAATATGCTTCAAATGGAATTACAACCCTGGAGCAGGCAATACGTTGATACTCCCAGTCATCGAAGATGTAAAGATCATCATATACATATCTTTTTCTAAATACCTGATTCGTTGTAAGATTAAGAAATGACAATTTTGGTAGATTTAACACAAACGGCAGGGTACTTGAGGGGTTAGCTTAACATTTAAAGATCCAATATTGTTACAAGTTGATCTATCATCTACACTATAGAGAAATAGTACTTTGTATGGTCAAAAGCTTGATAAGATATTAGGATTACATGTCATGTGATTTGTAGCACCTAATCAGCAACCCATTTATTTGAAGCGGTAGCAAGACATACTTCATAGGACTTAGCAAAAGCAATAACTGAAGTGGTTTTTGGATATCAAAAAGAATATAGCTAACTCCTCAATCGAAATCAAATTCATTTTGTGAGATAAAAAACTAGAAGCTCCAAGGACATTAGACCTTTGAGTTACCGTACTATGATCATTCATTGTTCAAATTAAATATTAAATATAACAAAAATAAATTGAGAGGTGAAACCAATAAAATTCCATGAAGTAGAAATATCCCAACAGATTTCCAGATTTTTGCAAGAGTTAATAGAGTTTGGTTGATCCAATCAAACTGATTGTTCACTTAGAGTAAAAAATAAATCAAGTTAGAGAGAGGAAAATTAGAACAAAATTTTAGCAGCAATCCAACACAAAAATCAACAAATACATGTCAATTGATTTTATTGAAGAAAAATACAGTTCAAGGAATTTGCGATAATTGAAAAATAACCCAACTGAGGTCTATTGAAAAAAAGACAACAAAATCTGACCTGCAAATATTTAGATGGTACTAGAAACAAATAAATGCTCGATTTAGATTTTACACACGCCCTTACGTGAATTGTATACAAAAACTGCCTGAAATAGTTCACCGAAGCTTACGCCTCACACTCTTCTTTGCCAATCACCAGATTTTGATTCTTACATATCGGGAGAGGTGGACCACCCTAGGTTGGTTGTGAGATTGAAATATCAAGTTCCAAGTACCTCTCAGTATCAAAAGTAACCAACCAAGTCACTTACAGATAATTTTGTGAGCTAGCTGGCAACACCGATTTGAAAAGACAAAAAAAAAAAACAGATGACACACGGCTCTAATACCATGTAAAATGGGAGAATAGAACAATCTTCCATGTTTTATTAATTCAAAATATATATATATATATTTGCAAGTGTACAAATACTCTATCTAAGGAAAACAAAATAAGAAAATCCCTACGTATCTCTATCTATTATTGTGTTGTGCTTGTGTCATATATTCTATAGGAAAATATGTTTATTTACATTCTATAATAACTTGAAAGTTTATTTTTGAATGAAGCTTCATTGCTTTACTTATGCTAAATTTTTTGTTGAAATAAATAAAATATTGGTTCAATGCTATTCAATAGTTTTCTTAACAATCTTGATATTAAACTTATATTAATTATATGCAAAAATTACCTAATTGCACAACTTATTTTATTATATATTTTAAAATTCCCTGTCAATTTAATATTTTTTACAAAAATCATTATCTCCTTTTGGTGATTTATCAGAACACGATATATAAAGACATATATCATATCAACAAAGTTAATGTATTGGGGCGCACTATAGCGGGATGTTGAATGGTGTATTGAAACAAGTATGTCTTGTATCAACAAAGGTACTGTATCAGGATGCAATAAATCAGAAGTTGAGTGATGTATACGAAATTAAGACGCGATATATTGAGGCGTTTAGCGATGTGTCTGAAATCAAAATGGGATGTATCGAGACATTAAATGATGTATCCGCATTTTTAATTTTTTGAGAAATTTTCGTAATTTAGAAAAGAGTAGTTATAGGATATGTGATTTTTACAAACCTTATTATATAGGGCCTTTATTTTTTGAGTAAATTTTTGGTTTAGTAAACATAAAAATCATATTTGTATGTTATTACTATAGTTTGTATAATTGCGCTCAATAACAAACTTTATGTTTGTTATGTCTATTAATATGTATATTTCAGTATATGTATACAAAATAATTAATTGTATAATTTATTTTGGTATATATATACAAAATAATCAATTGTATAATTTTTGTTTGTATAAAGCGAGAAAGAGAGAAAGACAAAAGAAAACTGGACGAGGAGAGAGGCGAACGAAAAGATGTGTGTGTGTGTTTCTCTCGCTTTATATAAACACAAACACATTTTATATATTTGTATTTTTTATAAAGTGAGAGATGCGAAAGAGAGACTGTCCAATGAGAAATCGAAAGTGACGAGCTAGAAATTCAGGGAGAGAGATGTGAATGACAATTGTTTGCTACGAATTATATTAAATGAAATTGTGATTAAAATATTTAATTATAATTAATGATTTTATATATATATATATATATATATATTGTATACATAAAAAGATTGAAATTGTTGAATTGGGCAAAGGACAAATTAGGATTAGTAGAAGAGTGTACTAACGTACATAAGGTTGGAGAAATGCAGAGCGTGGCGATATTTAGGCCGAAGAAAGAGATAGGATTTCTTCTAGTCTCCCTTATCTTTTAAATAAAAAAAATAAAAAATAAAAAAAAATTAGTCTCCCTTATCTTTTAAATAAAAAAATAAAAAATAAAAATAAATAATTTGGGTTTGATGGCTTGTCTAAGCTGCAGTCTCCCTTTACTTCAAACTCATAAAGCGATTTCCAATTTCAGTGTATTCCCCTTTAAATCAGTTGCAATATGTTTACCAAAATGTAAGGTGAAGTCTGTTCATATTCCATCAGTTTCTGAAGCTTCTTCTATTTCATCTACTAATTTGGAAGAAGAGGAGGACGACGATCCCACTGCTGAACTTGTTTATCTTGACCCTGAAATTGATCCTGAGAGCTTATCTGAGTGGGAATTGGATTTTTGTTCAAGACCAATTCTTGATATTAGAGGGAAAAAATTATGGGAGCTTCTTGTTTGTGATGATTCCCTCTCTCTTCAGTATACCAAATATTTTCCTAATAATCTTATCAATAGTATCACTTTGAAAGATGCTTTACTATCTATATCTAATGACTTAGGTATCCCATTACCCGATAAAATCAGATTCTTCAGGTACTCTTAACTTACATCCTCTCAACTGTTTTACATTTTCAATTCTCTCATCAATTGTTTTCCATTTTTAGGTCACAAATGCAAACTATTATTACAAGAGCTTGCAACGAACTTGCCATCAAACCTGTTCCTAGCAAACGGGTATTTTCACCAATTTTATTATCCCTATATATACAACATTTCAATCCAATTTTCTAGCACGGATCTATATTTACCGTTCCCCCGATAATTTTTTGTATATCTATAGAGGAAATTAAAAAGCAGATACTAAATAATCACAAAAAAAGTTAGTTGCTGCTTTGGTTCTGGCGTGTAGATGCTGCTAGTCACGAATTCAAATCTTTCTCTACCTGCAATTTTATGTTAAAAGAAAGTGAGCACCCACGACCCTCAAATGTTGGAGACAAGTTGTGTTTGATTTTTCCATCCCTAAGTTCATCCTACCTATTTTGCTGGTAAAGCACATATAGCATTCATTCAAAATTAGCTCTCCCTTTCTTTCCTGGTAAATTCTCCCCCCAAGTCAAGCTTTAGTTTGATATACAATGCATTGCTTCATTTCCATATTTTTATATGATCTGAAAATGAATAGCTCATTTATGTGTATACACAAGACTTCAGTAATGCCTAAATGATCTTTGATCCATGACATAACAAAAGGTCTTTTCTAATATAAAAATAATAACCAAGATACTGCAATATTTTGCTATTTTATGCACAATTGTTTAAAAACAGATTTCTTGTATGCTGCTATATTTCAGTGCTTATCACTTGTCCTTTGGCTTGAAGACCGCTATGAAACTGTTTATACTCGCCATCCTGGTTTTCAAAAAGGAGCCAAGCCACTTCTTGCACTTGACAATCCTTTTCCAATGGAACTTCCTGAGAATCTGTATGGAGAAAAGTGGGCTTTTGTCCAGTTGCCCGTTTCAGGTACATTTAATTCTAACACTCTGGAACAACTAATCTAGTTTAGCTCTTGATGATTTGTAAGAAGAATAGAATTCCTATTCTGTACTATAACTTGCCATATTTCTCATTTTGAGAAGATAAACTTGGATTAGAACCGATATCAAGTTGGACATGAATTTCTAATATTATTGTACCTTTAAAATTATGGACTTACAATTTATCTTGTTTGTAGCTGTTCGTAAGGAAGTATCTAACCTGGAGACTAGGTTGGTTTTTGGCTCAAGTTTGGACTTGGATCTTCTGGGGATCGAAATTGAGGACAACACATTGATTCCTGGACTAGCAGTTGCATCCTCACGTGCGAAACCCTTAGCTGGTATCAGAGCTGTACTATCTTTTTTTTTCTTTTTAACTTTATTGTATTAATGGATTATGACAATTCATGAGCATATGGTGTTCCTAGATTGACAATTTTCCTTCATACTTCTTTTATAACTCTCATGTGCTCTATAAGTATAATTTGACCTACTTTCCTTTTTCTTCCCCCTTTTTTCGAGTAAATTTAATCTACTTAATTTTATAACATCAAAATCATTTCTTGCTAGTTCATATGGGCATTGAACCGTTTCTAAGGTGCAACCATTTGTCATGACCAAAATGCTAGTCAATTAGTATTTGCCGAGATGGGGGTTGTGGGCCAAAACACCGAGACATTAGGTTGAACCCTCATGAAGCAAGACTAATTAGACTACTTATACCATTCTCAAATGTGATTTTTTTTTTATAAAAATATTCATTATTTTTTTCAAATGGTCTGATGATGTATTTCTCGGCAGAAGTGGTAATTTGACTCTGATTGCTCAATTAAAGATTAAAGTTACATATATTATATAGACAAGTCTATGTTGGAGAGCTAGAGTGGAGAAGCATCGGGTGATCCAAAATTATCCTATTATTTTGTTAATTGAGATTTCGATATAGTAGGATCTCTTTATTTCTTCACAACAGATTCTCACATCATTTTCTTGAAATGATATTATCTCACCGTGGGTTGTCTATTCTCTATTGAAAACTGTTATTGCATTTGTTCAGTATTGTTGAAAATTCACTTTTCCTGGAGTTGTGGCTTCTTGTAGCAAAGATGGTTCTGCACATATATTGATGTGGTAACTGTCACCATTGATGTAAACAGAGCTGCGCTTCAAGTACTGCATGTTATTATCTACTTGTCAGATGATGGCAACATTCTTTCACCTTTGAGGATAATAAGTCTTCAATTTACCAAAAAATGTGATTGAAGCGTTTGGTGTCCGTTAATTGGGGCTTGAAAAATTGATCAAATTTCATTCATAAACACGTCTGTTGTACTCAAAGCTTTTCCATGTTTTCTAAGGACAGAGTGTCTGTCCACTCATTTCGATTTGAAATCTATTTCCTGCTCTATTTGGTGGGCACTTCCAAGTATCAAACAATTGGTCTTTGTCCAAATTTGCTCGATACACTTTCCTTCTTTATGCATACCAAAACATTTTATTCCTGACCTAATATGAAAATATCTTGTTTCAAGCTAAATAAATTAAAACTATTTCACAGTGATTTTACAAATCTCGTCTCTTCTATTCTTTTGAATGTATCTGGTATTAATTTCTGTATATCAATCCATTCAAAATCTTTTATTTGCTTTTCAAGTTTACTCAGATGAGCTGGTCTAAATTGGCAGTGTGATTGGACAAATGATATGATTATCTGCGTGAACTGTTAGAAACTTCTGACATCAAACTATAGCAGCTGAAAACATATCTCCCTATTTCCGAATGTCAAGGGGGATATGTAGGTCATAGTTAAAGTCCGTTCATTGAGGAATGTTGGTTTAAGGTAGAGTTTGGTCAACCCATCTGTCTGCTCGAGCTCCTATAGCCAGCAACATCTTTGGATACTTCTAGCCTTTTAATGAGACCCAAAGAATGTGTTGTGTAGAATTTTTTTTTAAAATTTTTTTTTACAATTTGTGTTTCACCATCCTCTTTTGATTGTGGACTACTACAGCTTGGATGAATGGCTTGGAAGTCTGTTCGATTGAAGCTGATGTTGACAAGGCTTCGTTAATTTTGTCGGTGGGTATCTCTACCCGCTACATTTATG